TGATGTCTCAGGCCATGGCCAAGGCTGATCTCGTCACCTTGGAAAACGGGTTCTATAGTCTCAACTCCTTAAAGGGGGGGTTATATAGGGGATAATGGAAAAGAAAATGGAAAATACTATAATGGGTTTAGGGTTTAGGGTTTAGGGTCTAAACTCCTTAAAGGGGGTTGTATAGGGGATGAAAAAAGGACTACTATAGGGGTTATTAAGGGGGATTATATAGGGGATTCTACCTTGGGAATCGGGTTCTATAGGGGAATATATTGGCATTGTATTGGAGTTATATAGGGATAATGGAATAGGGATTATAGGGAATATATCGGGATAACGGAAAAGAAAATGGAAACTACTAAGGATTAAATGTAAAAGAAAATGGAAACTACTAAGGGGTACCATTTTGGGGGCCCCCATAATAAGGACTTTAGTATATCAGGGTGTATATTGGGGTCCCCTTATTTAGGGAAACTACCAAATCTGTGCTTGTGATAGCGCAAGATGGGCCAAGACCTCCATCTACCCTCTATATACCCACAGAAATAGGGACCGTAGACCTCCATTTAAAAAGGGTACAAGGAGGGTCCTGGGAATGACCAGTCATGGAGGCTTAAGGCTTGCCATCTGCGATTCGGATGGGAGTGTTATCACCTGCTGTCAAAACCACCGCCCCACACATAAGCTAGGAGCCTGAGCCCTACCCTAAACCCTAAACCCTAATCCCCAAACCTGCATGGCTGACCCCTCCAGCTCCAAGTGACTGCTGCGCGTGACGGAAACGGCCTGGCTGAGGAGCGCATCAGAGGCCGCCCCGCCTTGCCAAATTCAGATCGTGGGCAGGATGCTATTCAGGAACTTAAGCTACTTAAACTATCATAAGGCTCCCTTAGACGGGGGTATATAATATTGGCTTTAGGGTGAAGTTGCCAAAGACTTAGAAAAGAAATAGAATATCAAACGGGAAGTCGGTATATGTAGGGTTTACTGGTTACTTCTGAGTTTAAGGAATATGAGGAAACCGCATTCAAGGAAACCACATTCTTTAAAATGCGTATACACACATATATGGTAGTTTCCCCAAGATAGGAGGCCTCAATTTAGACCGCGAACGAATGCAGTCCTCAGTGCGGGGACGCCCAAAATCGGTACACCCAAATTTTGGGAAACCTCCATGCATGCGTTCTCTTGTAACTTGATCTAAATTATCTTGCAACCCAGCTGGGATCGGGATGGCTCCAAGACTAGGAGTCGGGCTCGACGCGTGCACGCGCACATCCATACGTACATGTATGGTCTCTGAAGTGCAAAGTACAAATGGAGGTGTAAGTAGAACCCATATGAGCTACTGTCTAAACTCCTAGTATCCCCCTTAATAACCCCTATAGTAGTCCCCTATATAATCCCCTATATAACCCCCCTTTAGCTTGAGCCGAAAAGATTTGGGGTTGCGGATTTAAAGATGGGATCCCAGGCTCGGGCTTCAGTGGGTTTGATTTGCAGCCGAGGGAACAAGTCAAAGGATCAGGGGCTTGGGGTTCCGGATCTGAAAAGTGAGTTCTCGACCGTTACTATGAAGCTGCATACTATGAAGCTGCAGTAGGGATAAACTCCACCTGACCCCAGAGTTTCCATAACGTGCAATCTCTTTCTACGGCAAGTATGGAAGATATTGCCTATGTCCCGTCCATATCCCATTTTCAGATCTGCATTGGAACCCATCTCCTCAACCCCCCACATCCCAGCCCTCACCCTGCAGCAAGAGCCACAGAACCCTTCCCTGAACCCTAAACCCTAAACCCTGAACCCTAAACCCCTAAAGCCCTAAAGCCCGGTGGAGGCCTGAAGTCGCGGGCAGCAGTGGCAGCGGTGGGAAGGCGGCTAGGTCTACGTCCGAGTCCCGGCGGCGTGGTGATCGCAGCTGAGAGGGGATGATATCATGTGAGTAGTGTTTTTTGGTGGTTGAACCTAGTAGGATAATATTCCTTATGCAAGAAATACTATACCCCAAAAGGAGCTCTATATTGGGTACCATAGTATCCCCAAATAAAATACTACACATGTGAGCCATAGTCTAAACTCCTGAAAGCCTCTATATACCCATGTGGGGGTTTCCCGAACTTAGGCGCGCCCTTTGAAGAGGGGATCTAGGGTTCTACAGGGATATACAGGGTGTAGGGAAAAGGTTTTTTGAAAATTAGTGAGCATATATATATATATATTATTGGGGTCTATATTGGGTTCCCATTATTTAGAGAAAGTACCATACACCCTAAATGGGGACCATACCGTCGCATTTAAAAGGTACAAGGAGCCTCCTGGGAAACATCCTGGAAACCCAAAAAAATGTGCGGAATTATATTGCTTTGCAGCCCCAGAAAGTTCTAAACCTGATTATCTTCAGGTACCGCTACAAAGAATCTCCGCACCATTACAACTCTCCAAAAACCACTACAACACCCTGAAAAAGCTCTAAACCCGAAACGGCCTGAATCTCGAAGCTTCCTTGCCGCAGGCCGCCTACGACACTTCCGGCTGCGCTGGACGGCACAATGCGCCTTGACCCAGACGCTTTTGCAGCCGGTTGGAAAAGGAAGTGGAAAACCAACACCAAATGATAACTGGGATTACGTAGTAGTTGTCAGAGCTTGTAGTGTACTTGTCTGACGAATTAGTAACCTTATCCTTTCTTACTTTATAGTGTTGATATAGCAGCCGCAT